TAAATCTGAATTTTTGAATATAAAGATATATTCAGGTGTTTAGGATCAGTTTTTATTTCTATTTTGATTACGAATTTAATAAAGGAGATTCTTAGGGACTTGTATAAAATTGAACATTTTTGTACCTAGAATTATGTGTTTATGTAGGATTATGATTTCTCGATACGACAGTAGAATAAAAGATGTGTAAATTGGGTTATATTAATTGACCTGGGCTAATTATTTGCTGTTGCAATTTAATTGCATCAAAATCTTCATATGAGCGAAATATTAAAAATATTGTATGCTATCCATTGAGTGTGTGATTATATTGCAGCATAAAAATTTTCCTATCAACAATAAATTCTCAACAATTGTATTTAATGCAATGTAACAAAATAATATCAAGGTAGTTACTGAAATAGTTACTCTAAAGCTCATGCTTAAGCCGTTTGTTCAGTAATGTAATGTAAAATTTACTTCACAGTATCTGAGATCGTAATTTATTATCCAATATTATGGGCATAATACTCACACTGGCCAATGAATAAAAAAACCCAGATCAATATTTTATTGGACCACCTTTTGCACGGATAACTGCTCTGATTCGTTTTTGCACAGATAACTCTTCAATTTCGTTTACAAGTCTACATACTTCTGAAGTGCGTTTGCGTCCAGAGAATACTATGCATTGGCTACGCAGCTTTTCAGATCTTGCAAATTAGATGGAATAGAAAAGGGCTGTCGGATGCGTCTTTCCCCCATATCTCATACAATTTCTGTGAGGTTAAGATCCGGGTTATACGGTGGCCAGGAAAGGTGTTGGAAGACAGATTGATGTTCAGCGAACCAAATTTGAACACTTCTGGCATGTTGTAGTTTTGCATTATCGTCCATGAATTATGTGTCGCCATCAGGGAGAAAATGCAGCATTGCAGGGTACACTTGATCTGCCAGTATATAGGTATCTCATGGCTGTTTGTTCACCCTCGAGGAACTCCAGAGCCCCACTTCCATGCTAGCAGAACATACCCAATATCATGATAGTTCCACCAGACCCTTGCTCAGTGCGAGTAAGGCAAGATGGATTCATGGTTAAATGGGGCTCTCGCCAAATTCAACGTCTTCCACCAGTTCAAAATAAGGTGTAGCGTGATTCATTTCACCGCATTACCCGTTTCTAATCCTCAGAGGTCCAGTGTCTTCTTTCCCGACACCAGTGTAAACGAATTCTTGCTTGTCGACGATTCTCACAAGCATTCCTATCCTCTACAATTCGCTGCGCATGGTTCAAACTCACATCTGTTAGGAAGAGCCTTGGTTGACGATCTGTATCGGTTGAAGCACAGTAGAGTCTCTGTTCTGCCGTACAATTCGTCGGAGACGACACCGATCACTCTCTTGGAAAACTGTGCTCGAACTGCAGTTACGTCTTCTAGAAAAGGACTGTGGGTTCTGATTCCAACTTTTGGAAACCTTTGATATCGCTGCTTTTGATAACCCAGTGAAATTTTCTGTCTTCGATATCGAGGCCTCTGCTAAACGGACACCAAAAATGGTCAAAGATCTGTCGTTTTTTCCATTTTACTTTATTCATCGTGAAAAACATTCTTACACCTTACTTACATTAGCATTATAATCACGTGTAACCCACGTCATAAAAAATGCATACTTCATCCCTAGCACGCGTTCAAATAAATATCTCAAAGGTTTATTATTCATTGGCCAGTGTGTGTATTTTCGTCATTAATAACAAGTGCAGTCTTGTACTGGAGGGAGATCACAGTTATGTTTTAGAAACTGAAAGATTTCTATTGAATATAAAGCTGTGCGAATAAGATATACTTGCTTGGGATCCTGTCTGACATATTTGAAGACGTCAGTATAAGAATTTATGTCACGCGGTTAAGCTTAGAGTCACATTAAAAAATGAGTTTTGGGACAAGTAGTGTAATGTTTTAATAAATTTGCTTTAAACAGCATGTGACGATAACAGAATTTTTCCCATACTTGTCTATATTATAAGATTCCTTTTTTTTTTGTATCTGGAAATAAATTACTAATGTTGATATCATTAAAGCTGTAAGCTGTTATCATTATGTCTGACTTTTCGTAACGTAAGCTATTCAACAAATCATTAATGCTATACTATTAATGTATGAGGATCTAGTAAGCTTTCAAGCTGCTTTCATAATAATTCTTAGGTGCACGTCATCTTACTATCCTCTGCATTTCAATAAATATATTTAGAATATTTGTTCCTTCTCAAAAGCATTTTAAATTATATTGAAGGCACATAATATGTAATTATTTTAATTACTTTAAATTTACGCAGTGTTAATGAAGGCTGAAATGGATGAAATAGATCACACGGCATAGATGTCTAAACTGTTCTAAGTGAAGGCGTTCCTCTGGCTACGTTAACGTTTTCAGTTGCTAATATTAAATTTGTCATGATAACCGCAAACGACAGCATTTTTCTGAATATTGTATTAACTTTTACAAACTTTAGGAATTTTATGTATATCTCTAAATATGACAAATATTAACTGATTCATCATCGGCAAACATTTATAATGTCCTTCTCTGCATTTGCAGAATACTTGCTGAGAAGAGAGTTTCACATAGTTGAATCAGATCGACTGATCCCTTATCGGCAAACCTTTATATTGCGTTTCTCTGCCTATGCAGAATACTTGCCAAGAAGAGAGTTTCACGTAGTTTAATTAAGTTTATTGCACTGTGGCTGGACAATTCATTCACTTGCTTGTAGTTAACTAAATTACCGTGTTTGTTTAATGGAGACATGTAACAGTAATTGAACTAAAGGTTTGATTATAGCATTAGTAAGCATACTAATAAGAAATTAAGATCCAACTGAGACTGTGATTTGGTTTTGAGACACTTCAACTCTTTTTCATTACACATATCAGTTAGTTCTTAAATTAACTTAAAAGTACTTTGCTTTGACAGAAAATGGATACCATCAGACATCATCCAGGACTCATTTAACTTGGATTGAAAATATGTTGACCTTGACATTTTATTCTCTCTGCTTCCATGTGCTGATTGTCTCTATACAGCATCTCATCTCCGAACCGAACTTTCTGAGGTCGATTTTGGGATTTATTAAAATGATAAAAACTAAACTTTGATAATATGTTTTTTTACTTATATTTATCAGTCATTTAATATTTTATTTAACTTCTGTCTTAAAATATGCCAGTTAGAACTACTTAAAATTTCTGTTAACATCACTAGCTGTCATCATTTTAAAAATTAAAAAGCAAAATTATGTATCTTTTGGAAGAAACTGGTATTTCTATCTTAACATGATAAAGATTTCCTACACATGTATTAAAACAGAGTACAGTATTCGGACTATTAAATTTAAACCCATTCTCCAAAGAGAAATGTCCTGTAAAGAAGTAAATCTGTTTAATGCAGGCATAATCATTATTCCCGCATCAATGAAATCCTAAAATTGAGAAGAATATAGAAAAATTAAGCAAAAAGATACCAGTATCTCTATAAAGAGTTTAAAAAGCCTTATAGAACCTTGCCATTATTATCATATACGGTATTTCTCCCGCTTTCCTAGCGTCCCTTCGTGGTGTACTGGCTTTGCACGCTGGGCCGGGATTGAAGAAGCCCGTGGTTCGATTCCTGGCGAAGGCGTTTGCTAATGTTTCATCTTACCTGCTTCAAAAAATACCTAATGTCTCTACAGTGGCACCCGAACTAAAAGGATGTTGGTTGAGGCTTCTCCACACCCAGGATTTGGCGACTAAGTCCCTTAAATCCCTAGTCGCCCTTTAAAAAGGGGAGTATATAAGGTATTTAAGGTATATAAGGCCTAGCGTCACGCTGTACTGGTATTCCATAGGCCCGTGGTTCGATTCCCGGTGAAGGCGTTTGCTAATTCTTCATCTTACTTACTCAAAAAAATACCTAATGTCTCTACAATCAGGTTTATTATATATATATAAATATACAGGGTGATCTTTTTTAAAGTGACTGTGTTTGAAGCGCCCTGTAGCGCTATCTAATAGCCGAAATGGCACCAAACTTGGTATTTAGACTAATCAAGACATGGGAAAATGGAATCCGTGAAAAAAAAGTTCCAAAAATCGGCGCTAGGGCATTTTGTGGCGCTGCTGTAGCTTACAATAACGAGAATTAGCATAAAACACGGGTATCAAAGAAAAATGCAAATATTGTGCGATGACAGCGCCAGTGATAGGGGCTATAAAAGCAAGTAGTAGACAGCTTCGACAAATAATCTCAGCTGAAGTAAACGAGCTCCAGTGGACATCCCTCTCACGTTACCGGAACGTGCGTTACTGGTGAAGCTTTATTACATGAATCAATGTAATGCATCAGCAGCTCTTGGGGAATTTCGAACCAGAAAAAAAAATTACGAAAGGGGCATTTATCGCTGAATGGCCTTAAGAAAATGATTAAGAAATTCGAGGAAACGGGGTCACTGACCATTCGCGCTGGGAGAGGACGTCAACCAGTGTCAGAAGATGTAATAACTGATGTGGCAACTGCAATTGTCGAAGGATCGCAGGGAAACATTGCTGGTACTAGTAGCGCCCGGGGTGTAGCTCGATAATTGGACATGAATTATTCCACGATATGGAGAGTTTTGCGGCGCGTTATTGGATTTTACAACTGCAAAATCAGCCGCTTGCACGAACTGAAACCAAGTGATTACGATAAGCGAGTGACATTCGCTCTATCGTTTCTTGCCAGGGTAAAAATTGATGATGCTTTCCCATGAAATATTCTGTGGGAAGATGAGAGCTATTTTTATCTCATGTGTCCGTAAACACACAAAATAGCCGAATTTGGGCTTCTGAGCAGCCCACACCGTGCACGAAATCCCATTAAATTCCCCAAAAGTCACTGTTTGGTGTGGTTTCACAGCCGAATTCGTAATTGCGCCATTCGTTTTTGAGACCATCACTCCGACAGGACCCCAAACGTGCACCATAAATGCAGAAAGGTACCATGAAATGCTGCAAACGTTTTTTATTCCACAACTTCAGCAAAGAAACCGTCTCCAACAGACAATCCTTTTGCAGGATGGTGCTCCACCACACATTAGTAATAAGGTAAAGCAGCTGTTGCGCCAAAACTTCACTGATGATAGAGTCATAAGTCGCAGTTTTCCAGTTGCATGGCCGCCTCGTTACCCTAACCTCACGCCATGCGATTTTTGGCTCTGGGGTTATTTGAAATCTCAAGTTTATGTTGGTGGAGTATCAAATTTGTCTATATTAAAGGACAACATAACAAAGACAGTGTGGAATATTCCTCGTGATATGTTACATACGGCTGTGGAGAACATTGTGCACAGAATGCACGTTGGTATTTCTGAGAGCAGTGATCACATTGAATGTGGTGTAATTCCTCACCGGGGAAGTTAATGTAGTAAATAAACATTAATAATTTAACTGTACGATTGTATGTCTTAATGTCTTAAGTCTTGATTAGTCTAAATTCCAAGTTTGGTGCCATTTCGGCTATTAGATCGCGCTACAGGGCGCTCCAAACACTGTCACTTTAGAAAAGATCATCCTGTGTGTATATTAAGAATGAATGCAGTTTTAAAAAAATTCCTTCCGGCGTAGCACTACAAATGACGTTTCCCCGTGTCCAATCGTTTTCTTTTTTTTTTTTTTTTCTGTTACCGCTACTGTATTTAATAATAAAGAAAAGCCTTTGTTTCTGTTGTTCTATCAAATGTAATTTTATTTATGTCAAAACTGGTGTACCTACGCTCAGTCTGTACGTTTTAGATAAAGGTTTCTAGTGAAATATGTCAAGAAAAAGAAATGATTTTTTATTAAATGCCAGTCTCGAATTCCAATTAAGATATGTGTTAGTAGTTAGTTCCGAGCAGAGCCGAGACAAGCGTGAGGCAAGTGAGGCATTTGTCTCATATGAGTTACTAAGAAGGGTGCCAAATTAGACATACAATTTTAGAAATATATTTCAAATGCTGGTTCACTTTAAATTTTGAAACATATCGAAAATCATCGTTTTAAAATACTATATTTAAAGCAATGAAAGAGAGCTACAATTTAAAGCACACGTGCGTGGTTTTCCTTAAACAATTAATGAAACCAAAGCAAAAGCATAATTAATTATTAACAATTTAAAATTTCAGGTGAGGCAGAAAAAACAGTATTGTGTATTTTATGTAGTTTTCAGTTTGCTATTATTGCTTTATATTTGTATGGTTTGAATTTATATAAGATTTTAAATAATAAATCATTATAACGGACTGAAACTAGTAGCTCCTTCAAGCAAATCAATTTAAAATTTAATGCTTAGAATTTAATACTGCAAGTAACTAAAGGTAAATAAATCTTTGAAGGCAGAAACGTTCTCTATACTGTATACATAACTGTATTATATGTAAAATCCACTGCTTAATAATCTGCTGCTGTTATCAAGCTGCATGCTTAATAGAAGGAATAACATAACATAGACTGTCCGGCCGAAGGCGTTGACTACATACGAAATTTCGCGATTTCCCACCTGTGTAACTTAAATAAGAACCAGTTTTCTTCTAAAACGTCTTCTCTTTCCAACATGTTCTCCTGCTATAGGAAACATTTCATGCCTCTTTATCATCATGCCTATTGAGAATTATCTCAGGGTACAGGGAACTACTATTGTATGCAGTAGAAACCCTATATAACCACGTACGTAGTAAGGTATAAAGGTTAGAAGGTCTTCTACGAAGACAGACGAATCTTTAGGCAAATAGCCCCGTATGCTTTGCCATATTGAATAAAAAATAATAGGAGGTATAAATGAAGCATTCCTTTCTTTCCAGAAAATAAGGTGAAGTATTGTTGATAAATGTGGAAATTTAGCTATAAAACTTAACAACCAACAGAATATGAAGAGGAAAAAGGAGGATCAATAAATCAAACTTTCAAAGATCAATTGATAAAATAATTAATTTTTCAGGAAAATAGATCCTACATGGAAAAATTCAAGAAGTGGTAGATGTTTTAATCTTTCATATGAAACTGAGAAACGAAAAATGAAATAAGTTAGATCCTGTTTTCAGTTTCTGACCGGGAAGAAATTAGCATAATTTTGTTTAGCTCTTTTAAAGGAGAAGCTCATAACTTGTTAACTAACTAAGCATCCAAATGATATAAACAATACGGATATTTATTCAAAATACATACATTTAAAAATTACGTTATTTCAATAAACTTGGATCCGATAAATTACACTCATGTCCATAAATTAAGGATAATGCAAAATCAGGCAAAGGAAGAGTTAGAAGGAAAACAAATTTGACTTATTTGTAAAGCTTATTTATTAAACAAAAGTTAAAGAGCAAAAAAAAAAAGATGCTATATGTTTGATATTTTTAAAACAAAATTAGCGATTTTTTCTCCCTGGAGCAAATTACAAAAAAAAAAAAAAAAAAAAAAAAAACCTATTTACAAAAAACCAATATTACATGGTTGGTATGACTCCTAATACATTGTTTGTCTCCCAGACGATGCAATGCAGTCCGTACAACGCATAGGCATGCTGAGTATCAAATTATCGATCTGATCTTGGGGGATATTACACCACTCAAAAAGCAATGCTCCCCGAAGTTCCGGTAGACATGTAGGAGGAGGTTGACGGGCTGCAAATCGTTGGCCAAGCATGTCCCACACGTGCTCTACTAGATTCAAGTCCGGTGAGAATGCTGGCCAGTCCATAAGGGTGATATCCTCCGATTGAAGGCATTCGCTTACGATGTTTGCACGATGAGGACGGGCGTTCTCATCTACAAACACAAATTGTGCGCCCATGGCGCCCCGAAACAAACGTACGTGTTGTTCCAGAATGACGTCCCGATAGATTTGGCTTGCCATGGTTCCAATTTGAACATGCAGGTCAGTTCTGGAACCCAGAATAATTCCACCCCAAACGAGCACTCCTGCACCAACGTAACGGTGTCGTTCAATGCTGTTTTCGTGCTGGTAAAGGGTACCTGGAGCTCTTCATATGAAACTCCGGCGGGAATCAGACTGCAAGCTAAACCTGGACTCGTCGGAAAACATCACACAGAAGCCCACTGTTGCGGTGTCCACAATGCATGCTCTCTACTCCAGGCTAACCGCAGGCGACAATGAGTTGCAGTAAGTGGAACGCATCTGACAGGTCTACGAGCATATAGACCAATCTGCCCTAAGCGTCTGTACACGGTCTGCCTTGAAATTGTCGTACCAGTGGCTGAAGAGAGCTGGCGAGACAGGTCTGAGGCTGTGCTCCGCCTGTTTCTTTTGGCAGTAACTGGTCCTCTGGGCAGTAACTCTGGGGCGACCTGTGCTGTAACGTCTACTTACATTACCATCATCTTGGAATCGTTGCCAAAGCCTGGAGATGACATTCTGGGCAATTCCAAGTTCGTCTGATACTTCCAGTTGGGTACGCCCACATTCCCAGACGGCCGATAATTCTCCAACGTAAAAAATCATCCAAATGCGTCCTTTGTGTCGTAACTATTCGGTTAATGCACTGAAATGCTTATAAAGCACCTGCAAACAATTTTACTTCTTTGCCTGTATTCCTTATATATCACTCTCTTACACTCTCGTCATTGTGACATGCCATCTGGTTACTTCCTTAAATTTGCATATGATTCTTGAAGATGTGTGTAGTGATTTTACAGGTGATATATTTTATTTTAGAGTTCGATTTCTGCGTGACTCCGAATTATCCTTAATTTATGGACATGAGTGTAATATTAGATATTTTAAAGTTAGTATAGGAATACGGTTTAGTTCAATCATATCTGAATTCGACAATTTTGCTAAAAATATTTTAACATTATCTGTTATAATTGTAATGAGAAATGTGGCTTGAGAAAACTTAAAATAATACCATAAATTATGTAAAATAATCTGCGGGTCAGAAAAAATTAAATAAATTGAGTAGAATTTAAAAATCAATTATTGTCGATTTTACATTATTGGAAGCAGAAAGAGGTTTAACTATGAATGCAATAATTCTTCTATTGCTTGTAATACTACTCTTTATAATATGTAAATGTTATTTGCTATTTATCTAAAAATAAGTTTTAACGTTTCCATTGAACAATTTTAAATTATTATATGTATTATTTTTTAAATGCGCAAAGTTACAATTGAAAATATTAGAAGAGTTATTGTAGATTTACCGTGATTATCTTTGATGAATGTCAAATTGTACGAATATACTGAATTTGATTTTAAGGGGCGCACATTTACCACTTTGCATCAGGTGAATAATGGCTTTTGTTTCAGTGGGTATCATGTTTCAAAACGTAGTTTTAAATAACCAAACCTATTATTAAGTAGAGATTTTAGCTTGAAAATTTTTCTCTTATTTTTTTCCTAAATCAGTCAGTCAAGTTTAGTAAATCAACTTCTGTCCCTTTCAGGGAATATAAATGTTTAATGTTAAATCAAGAGTTTGTGTATTTTAAATTGATGCTGTAGTTTAATAAATAATTTAGACTAATTTTGAAGTCTCGCTTTTCTCCAATCAGGTTAAAGTCACCTTATATATAAAGAGTCTTGATAAAGGTGTAAAATAAAGTAAGCGGAATTTCCTTCACTCCTAAATTCGCATTTCTCAAACTATTTCATCTAAGAAGGCATGCTATCGGAATATACTCATCTAAATGGTGAATATAAACGAGTTCAATTTTTGCAATGCTCTTATTTTGCATACAACAAAAATAGAACGAATAAAATCATCAGCATAAACAAGAGTTTTACAGTAGAAAGCAGATAAAAATAAAAATAAGAAGAAACTCCGGAAAACAAATTATATGGAAATAGAACTTTGTGAAAACTTTTCGTATTTTTTTTAGCTCAACGGGAAACAATAAAAGTTTCATGTATATATGTATAGTTTGCCCTACACTGAAAAAGCACCTAATGCAATACGATTTTTCTACGGTCCTTAATTTTCATATTGTAAAATATAGTTTGAATATTTCTATCATACATCCAATTAATATTCATTCTAAATGCTCCTGGACAATGTTTTATAGGCCTTGTTCATGAGCGAACATCTGTGAATAAAAGTACCATAATTAGATGTAGAAGAGATTTTACAAAAACAAAGAAATAGCGGAAATATTAAGGAAAGGTTTAAAAAATATGCCCAAAAGGAATGTATATTAAAATAATACTTATATTTGGCATCTTATATTTCTTCATTAAATTGAAAACAATGTAATGGGAAACAAAATTGTAATGCCCAATTTAAAATTTAAAACAAATGTCAGAACATATTAGTACATAACATACAATTTGAATGTTCTTTCTCTGATAATTAAATGGGATAAGAATCTTATTAAAGCATAATGTACAGAGAATTATGCAGAAGAAATTACTGTTTAGGGTTTATTTTA